CGCCCTGGCCGCGACCCGACCCAGCGTACGCTCCAAAACTCGGCCCCAAAATGAAGCACACTGTCCCCCGCCCTGCCCAAGAGAGCCAGGACGGCGAGACGTCAAGCACGAGCACCGGGAGCCTCGTCCTCGGTCTCGCCTCGACCCGCCTCGGCATCGTCCGACGGCGGCCTGTCCGACCCAGAACCGGAATCGGATGACTGCGAGGACGAGCTGCCTTCGCCACGCTCGCCGCCGGCGCCGGCTGCAGCGCAGTCCACCGGCCAGCCACGCGAGGCCGCGAGCCGGACGCACTTCCTGCAGGCGTCATGCAGGTCAGCGCGCCCCTCGTGGAAGGTGAGGGCCGGCTGCGGGAGACCTCCGAAATGCCAGCCGCACAGCGAGCCCCGCTCGCGGGGCACTCTCGACTCGCACGCGCGGGCCCTCGCGACATGTGTCTTGCCGAGAGCGTAGGAGACGAGGCGTAACCTCTCCTCCCTCTCCCGCATCCTCTCCTCCACGAGGCGCCCGACCAACTCCTCGAGGCCGATCGGGCCAGCTGCGCCGCCCTGGCGCTCCTCCCCCCCTTCGCGCGCCAGCGGGGCATCGCGCGCCCCGGCCACGGCCATCGTCGCAGGCCCCGGCTCCACGTTGGCATCGCTTCGGGCCGCCCGAAGCGCCAGAGACCGTGCCTGCGGGGCCCGCGACCGCGCGTCCTCGACGTAGCGCTTGACGGCGTCGGAGCCCCATCGGCCGAACCACTCGACCAGCCACTGCTCGACGCCTGCCGCGGCGAGCAGCTGCGCGCCCATGCGCCGCAAGGAGTGGCCGTTCACCTGTCCAGCGCCCTCCGGCACAAGCAGCGCGCGCATGGTCGCGACCGCGGCCCTCTTGACGACCGCGTAGACGGCGGCGTCCGCGAACAATGGGTCGCAAGGCTCCGCCTGGTCAGCCCGTCGCTTCTGGAGCTGGGCTCGGACGACGCACACTGGGCAGATGGCTTGCCACTCCGGCCTGCACTGGCAGATGCACGAGTGCACCCGGGTGCATCCGCAGCCCTGGATATCCTTCTTCGTGACGCCCAGGCCCACGGCAACTGAGTCCGTCTCCTCCAGGAAGCGGACGCGCTCGATTGTGAGGAGGGCCACCTCGATCTCCCGCAGCATCCACCAAGTGCCCACAGTGATGAAGCGACCGGGCTCGGTCGGACCGCCCTGGGCGCGCGCTCGCTTCACATGGGCCGCCACCAGCCACGACTCCAGGGTGAAGACCGCCGCGTGCGTCGGCGGCCCGAGGCCCCTGATCGACGCACGTCGGCACCCTCTCATCACACCGTGCAGCCTGACCGACCAGATCGTAGTCCTCCTCGACGCGCATCTGCTTATACCTCTCCAGATAGCACGCTGTGGACCTGTACCCGGCCGCACGCAGCGCGCCGCCGATCCTGCAAGCCTTCTCTGGCGTAAACGGCAGCAAATCGAAGCCGCCCGCCTTGGCCAGCGAGACGAGGGCCTTCGTGTAGCTGTCCATCACGGGCCTCGTCGTCACCGCCAGGGTGGCTTCCCTGAGCTCTGCGGCGGCGGCAGCGGAGCGCTGCGGACATCCGATGACCTGCAGCGCCCCTGCCAAGCAGGCACGCTTGGCTGGCGCCGCTGCCGCCGTCTCATCCCACCTTCGCCTGGCTGGCGCGGGTCCCGGGCCCAAGAGAGCATCCGGTACCCCGCCGCTGCTCCTCTCCTCCTCCTCGCGGCCGCGGCGCCCCTGCGCGCCGTCGACCCGCCTCGGCCCCTCGCGCAGCGCGCCGGCGGGAGCGTTGACGACGCGGATCACTCGCGGGAGGCCCCGCTCCAACGAGCCTGCGCCCTTGTCGCGCCCAGGCGGGGAGGCATCTCCGATAGCTCGCCTGGCGGGACCTCCGGCGCGCCTCCGCTCAAGGCGCCGAGCGCGGCTCGTCGCGGCACCGTCGCCCGCCAGCAGCCTTGTCCAGCACCGTCCGCGCGAGGGCCATGGAGCGCCACCACGACCCGTCGCGCGCGGCCACGGGAGTCCGCGTGCACCCAGCCTGCCGCAAGACCTCGGGGAGCGCGAAGCGCCCGCCCGGCTCGAAGGCCCTCGACAGTGCGTCCGCGACGTCATTGAGCTCGCCCGGCACGTGCTCCAGCACGTCGATGCCGTACCGACTCTGCGCCACGTCGAGGGCGATCTCCCTGGCGATCTTGTTGATGGCTGGCGTTGGACTGGCCATCTTACCAAGGGCCCCGAGCGCCGCCATGGAGTCGCTCTTGACTCGAACGCCAGCCCGGTGCTGCGCCCACCTGGGAAGCCAAGTCCGCGCCGCGACCGCAATGGCCAGCGCTTCCAGGACCGCCTGGGCCTTGCACGAACACTTCTCGACCCCCAGCTCCTCGACGTCCGCCGGGCCGACCTCGTCGAAAAGGTAGGCGCGAGCGGCCCCGTCGACCCATAGGACCGCCCCCAGGCCCCACGGGGAAGCATCGCAGACGATCTCGATGGACGGCTGCCGGAACCACTCCCTGACGTCGACCGTCCGACCAGGATCACCACCCGTGACAACGCCCTCGAGGAAGGCATGCAACCACGCCAACGCGACAATGATGCGCGAGGTCTGCGCAGCTGGCTGGGGGTCCCTGCCGATCCAGGGGATCCCCGAATCCCCCTTGGACGCGGCATTGAGGTCGGCCAGCGTGGCCCACAGGCTGTCGATGAAAGAGCGCATCGTCGGCACCAGACCTGTCGCCCACGACGCCCTCCCCGCGATGCGCCGCAGCTCCGACCGCGTAATGAGCGGCCGCCTCGTCGCTTGCTCGATCTCCGCCTTGAACTCCTGCGCGAAAGCCTGCGCCAGCACCGCCTGCACGACGTACCGCGAGACGAGGCGGTATTCCACGCCGCACCACTCGACCCGCCTCCCCCGCGAGACCTTGGCCCAAGAAAGCCGCAGTCCCAGAAGGATGGGCCAGAGGAGGAACTTGGCGAACCGCCGCCTCCGCGTCTCGGCCGTGCCGACGGCGAGCACCAGGGGGTCGTCGACGTAGCACTCGCCCAGGAGATGCTCCGGCTCGAAGATCGACTGCGCACCGCGCATGACGCACGCCGCCGCGCGGCCCCAGAGCAGCGGGCTCGCCTCGCCGCCGAAGACCACCGTACGAAACACCACGTACTCGCCGTCGAAGACCTTCGCCACGCCATACGGGAGCTCGTCTGCATGGACTGGCAGCGTGTGAAAGGCGCCCTTGAAATCCAACGCCATCGCCTCGACCTCCTCGTCCTCCGCGGCGTGGCGCAGGAGGTGCATGGCATTGCTGAGGATGTCCTTCGGGCGCGGAAGCACAATCCTCTCGTCGACCTGCACGCGCCTGTTGACACCCGATCTGCGGAGGTCGATGATGATCCTGGCCTTCTTCGCGCCGCCCTTCCGGTCCTTGACGACGCAAGCGAGCCTGGACGCCGCAACCGGGCCGTAAGTGCCGACGACGTGCTTCCAGGACTTGAACCTGACCGCGAAGCCCTCCTTGATGATCCTCTCGATCTCGGGCTCCGCGTGCACCCTGGCCTCCTCGAAGCTGTTGTAGTTGCCGTGCGCCTCCAGCAACGATAGCACCTCATGCGCCTGCGTGCGCTCCTTCGCGGCCGGGCCGAGTTGGGGAAAGATCCCGCAGCTCGGCGCCGGTCTGGCCACGCCGATGGGGGCGCCGTCCCGAAGCCAATCTCCAAGGTGCACCTCCGGGCCCTGCGAGGCAGCCACGTGCGCCTCGACGACGTCCCGCTTCCAGGGCGTCCGCTTATGCGCCTTGGCCTCCTTCGCGCCGAGGGCGCGACGCAAGTCCTCCCGCGCCGTGCGAAGGCGCGGATCCCGGACCAGCTCCTGAGCGCGCTCGCCGCCGTCGGGGAGGTCGAGGAATCGGGATGCTGGTCCAAGAACTCGTCGAGGAAGGCCCCGATCTTCCGACCGGTCTCCGCGAGCATCGGGAGCTTCTTGACGGCCTTCCACGGCGCCCGGAGCCCGCCGATGCACGCCTCGTTCTCTTCTGCCCGCCGCGCCGCCCGGGAGCCAGCCGTTGGGTTGGCAAGCGACGTGCCCGCTGGTGCCTTTGGGGGTGATCGTCCGCCTGCGTCTTGCGCGGCTCGACCCCGCCCAGACGCCTCGGCCTCCTGGCGCGCCCCGGCCAGGCGCAACCGGTCCTTCCGCTGGCGGATGACCTCCTGCAAGCGGTCGTGCTTCGCGCGGAGGTCGTCGATCCGCGCGGCCCGACCGGCAGCTGAGCGCGAGCGGACTCGAGGGCGGGCGCCCCGCGACTGGTCCGCATGCTTCTCCACTCGGGGAGGGCTGCCTCCAGAGGCGCCGGCAAGAACCGAACGCCCCCGGTGCGGCAGCGGGTCGTGCCTGTGCTCTCGGCGACCCTGGCCGGGTGCGCCCTCTGGCGAGGCGGAGCGTTGCCTGCCGCCCCTGCCGCGCGCTCCCTGATCGGACCGAGGGCGGAAGCATCGCTGCGTCTTTGTCCGATCCCTGACCCGGGAAGCCTCGCCCGCGGAGGCGTCGGCAAGGACAGGACGCCCACGGCTCGGCGGGGAGCCGTTCCCTCTTCCGCCGTGCTTCCTCCTCCGGCGGCTCTCCAGGGAGGGAGAGCGACGCCTGCCGCTCCTCGCTCTCTCCTGCAAGCGGCTCCTGCTCCTGGTGCCTCCTCCTTGCCTCCGGTGCGTGGGGGGGGCGTTGCACCGACTCCGCGGCGCCGGATGATCCCGGGGCGGCACCTGCATCGGCGGGCGCCGAGGCATCGCCCGCGCAGCCGAAAATCTGCCGAAGGCGGGTGCCCAACTGACGCACCGACGCGCCGCCGCCCTCGCCGAGCAGTTCTGTCTTCCGCATCTTCCCCAGCGGGTCCGCTGGCCGTTCGCTCGACTCTGGACGGCCGCGCTCGCCCGCCTGGGGAGATAGTCAACGGGGCGGCGACCACCCGTCAGGCTTCTGGCGGCACTCGATGGATCTGTGCTTTGGGGACCTGCACCACTCGCAGGCGTGCACCCTGCCGTTGGCGCACACCTCGCTGCACCCATTGGCGTTGTGGTTCCACGCCCAGCAAAGCGGCTTGCCTCTCTCGTCCCCACGCCACCTGCCGTCCGGATGCTTCGCGTTGCCTTTGCCGCCGCCCGCGGCGCCACGGCCCCCGCCGCGTCCTCCGCTGCGACCGCGGCCGCTGCCTCCAAACTGGCTGGAGTCCGAGGCTGCGCGGTCCTGGCTCCCCCAGGCGCGCTTCGCACCGCGCTTGCCGCCGCCGTTGCCGCCTGCGCCGCCGCCTCCACCTCCCCCCGAGCCTCCGCCTGGGCCTCCGCTGGGGCCTCCGCCAGGGCCGGAATGCCCAGTGCCGTCGTCGGTGAGCTGCTGCCTGGTCCTGAGGTGGGTGACCCAGAGCGTCGCCTTGCGCCCCAGCTCCTCATCCCAGAAATCGGAGTCGGCAGCGGCGGCCTTGAAGCAGTAGTCCCACGGCATCTTCGGGTCGAAGGCGTGCGGCGCCCCCGGAACCTGCGCAGCCGCGTACTCTTCCTCGGCGCGCCTCCTGATGCGCTCCATGCGCTCGGATCGCATCCGCTGATCCGCCAGCGCGACCAACCACCAACAGACCTATAGGTGTTGTTGAACTTGGAGATCTTGTTCTGGCACAGCTGGAGCCTCGCGGTCGTGGCGGCCCCGAGCGCACGCATGCCGACCGAGAAAACTCGGAACGCAGGCAGCCACTCCGCGAACGTCGGCGGCCCTGGCACCTCGTAAGGCCTGTAGTCGCCGGCCGGCGTGATGTGATGCACGACCAGCTTGAGGGTGCGCGCGAACCGCTGGCCGTACGGCCGCCACACCCCGAAGTCGGGGCAGGGGCACGCGCCCGTCTGGATTCGATGCTCCAAGGCCGCCAGCTGGTCCCCAGTGACGTCCTCGTCTGGGTCGGGGTCCTCGTCGTCGTTGGCCGCCTTGAAGGCCGCCATGACCGTTCGCGTCCGTTGGGCCGACCAGGGGGCGATCTCGGAGTCGTCCGCCTGGTCGAAGATGGTCGACATCTTGACCTTCCTGATGGAGCTCGCATTGACGACCTCCGGGGGCCCAAGAGGGTTCCCCGGCGCCGCCACTCCGCCGCCGCCCCCAGAAGGGGAGCCCTCGCCTTCTTCGTCGGCAGGTAGTCCGAGGCGCAGCCGGCAGACGCGACGAAACCCCCGCGCATGCCCCAACTCGACGCCACGGAGAGGACGGGGCGGTGGGGGGTCCCCGCCTTCAGGGGTGGCATCCTGCACCCGGGCGGCCGCCACGCCGGCGATCCAAGCATGAGGAGGAATGAGGACGACCTCGCGGATCTGCGCAACCTCCCCGAGCTCGGACTGCAAAGCCGCCCACACAGTGGGCTGGAGACCGACCCAGTTCTGGATGTCCTGGAGGTTGTTCAACCCCCGGAGCTCGCTGGCGGACGGGTCAACCATGGCCCGGCCCCGCCTGCGGGCCCAAAGCAGCGCGGCGCCCGCGCTGCAGCCGCGCGCGGGGTGCGCGCACGAGATTGAGAAATCACGGAGTCAATAAGAATGAGCACCAGTTTGGCCACTGAGCCAAAGGCCACGGAACAGCATGAGCACTGTGGCAGCAAAGATGCTATGCAACACAATGCGATGCAACAGCAGAGGGAACCCCCGGCCGGTGACCTCAGGAGGCCGCAAGGGGGCCCCAGAAGGTCACCGACGCAAGCAGTGGGAACCCCCGGCCGGTGACCTCAGGAGGCCGCTAGGGGGCCCCAGAAGGTCACCGACGCAAGCAGTGGGAACCCCAGGCCGGTGACCTCAGGAGGTCGCTTGGGGGCCCCAGAAGGTCACCGACGCAAGCTGTGGGAACCTCCCGCTGGTGACCTCAGGAGGCCGCATGGGGTCCCCAGAAAGTCAGCAAGCCTCAGGTGACCGGAAAACGGTTCCCATCTCGGACACCCTTGCTTCACGACAACAACTGTTGCGGAAGCCATCTCGGACACCCTTGCTTCACGACATCGTGCACTACAATCCTGTACGGCCCAACGCCGCCCAACACATGTAACAGTTATCATTTCTTTTACTAGCACGTGGGGACACTCCGTTCTCACCAGTGCCAGGGTTTTCATAGGAGGCGGGCAATACCCCCACTTTGTGGGGGGGCCGGTTCAAGCTCTACCAAATTTCCAAACGACTCTTCGCCACCACCCACACCCAGCTTCCCGCCCTATGACGTTCGGACACTTCACTTCGTGGCATGCGGACGACCGTGGCTACTATTCAGGGCCCCGCGGCCGACGACGACGGCGTGCGCGCGCGAAGAAAAAACGAATGTGTCCCGCATGGTATTATTTGACAGGGATGATGGCCCTGGCAGGTGCGCAACCGTTGTTGCAGAAGTTCGAAAAAGTTGCTCGCAAAAGCCCGTTTGACAGAAATGTTTTAAAAGTGTTGGGTTTCCTACGAATCCGCAAGAGCGCGCGGGATGAAATGTTGACAATTTTT